GTTCAAGCAATCCTCCCATCTGAGCCTCCCAAAGCTGGTATTACAGGTATATGCCACCACATCCAGTTAATTGATTTTTTTGTAGAAATGGGGTCTTGCTATGTTGGCCAGACTAGTCTTGAACTCCAGGACACAAGAAATCATACTGCCTTGGCCTCCCAAAGTACTGGGGCTACAGGCATGAGCCACTGCTCCTGGCTGAAATGCTTTAATTTTAAAGTACAAAGATGACATCCATTTTTGTTTAAGGTTTTTATTTTCTTACCTTTTTGGTTTTTTTTTTTTTTTTCTTTCTTTCTTTGAGGTTCTTAATGCTTCAAGAGATCCACCAATATACTAGAGGAATCCTTTCCATGAAGTGGTAAAGCTTGTGAATATGTAGTGTTAAAAAAATACCACAAAAGATGTAGGTATTCCAGAGAAGGTAGAGCAAGATAAAGATTTCAATTTATAAGCTAGTGATTTTTTTTTTCCTGAGACATAGTCTCACTCTGTCACCCAGGCTGGTGCGCAGTGGTACCATCTCGGCTCACTGCAATCTCTGCCTCCTGGGTTCAAGTGATTCTCCTGCTTCAGGTTCCTGAGCAGCCTGGATTACAGGCTAATTTTGTACTTTTAGTAGAGATGGGGTTTCTCCACGTTGGTGGGGCTGGTCTCGAACTCCTGACCTCAGGTGATCGCCTCAGCCTTCTGAGTAGCTGGGACTACAGGTGTGCACTGCAACACCCAGCTAATTTTTGTATTTTTAGTAGAGACAGGTTTTGCCATGTTGGCCAGGCTAGTATTGAACTCCTGACCTCAGGTGATCCACCCGCCTTGGCCTCCCGGAGTGCTGAGATTACAGCCATGAGCCACAGGTCCTGGCTGTCAATGATTTTTCCAAAATAATTAGGCATCCCTGGGAAGGAAATAGGAAATGAAACATTTTGTATATAATTTGGATTTGTAGGTGGCCTTCCTAAGCCAATTTATTAGAAGGTAAACAATAATTATAAAGAAAGAACCTGGTTGGTAAATATAATGATCATGAAACCTTATTAGTTTACATTAATTACCAGGAAAACTTAATTAAGAAGAGATCTGAATCATATAATAGAATTACTAAAACTGCTCCCTTGTTAATCTACCTAACTCTCTTCCATCTCCATTTAATTCTGTACACAGTTTACCAAGTGGAATTAAGAAGTGTTTTGTTTTTTTTTTAATTGTGTTTGAGATGGAGTCTTGCTTTGTCACTCAGGCTTGAGTGCACGATCCAGCTTCACTGCAACCTCTGCCTCCCTGGTTGAAACAATTCTCCTGCCTCAATCTCCCAAGTAGCTGGGACTACAGGCATGCTACCACAGCTGGTTAAATTTTTTGTATTTTTAGTAGAGATGGGGTTTCACCATGTTGGCCAGGCTAATCTCAAACTTCTGACCTCAAGTGATCCGCCCACCTTGGCCTCCCAAAGTTCTGGAATTACAGGCGTGAGCGACCACACATGGCCAAGAGTACTTTTTGTAAAAAAACAGCATGTACAAAGGTTCAGGGTTGGGACTATGAAACAGCTCTGCATTTTCCTGCCTCATTATTCTCTTCATCCCTATCCTTCCTTGTGACCTCAAGATTTTCAACAAAATAAATGAATGAAAATAATCCAGCACTTAAGAACAGAAGCTAGGAATTAAGTAGACCTAGATTTAAATCTCAGTTTTATAGTATTTATAAGCTACAAATTACCCAATTTTGACTAAGCATAATTTAGTGATACCCCTTTACGTTCTGGCAGATGGAATGAGATTACCCTAGTTTCTTGGTGAAGGCCTTTGTTTAGAAGCATGGTTCCAGTGACTGAGATTTCCTCCACTAACTCCTATAGTCTACACTTCCTTCATTCCACTGGATTCTGTTAAATGGTCTTGGTAGAGCCACTGTAGCCTGAATTATGCACTCCCATGTTATGATTAAAGCATTATTGGGCTGTGTTTCATTCATAATATGATCTTCCCTGGATTGATCAAATGAGTAACTAGTGAAACAAATGAAATACATATGATAGAGTTAGAAGGCTCCCAGATTGACTAATCTTTGAACCGAAAACAGGAGGAGCAAAACTCCATTATCTAGCCCTTCTGAGCCTAATGGGAACATAAGATGAAGGCCATGCCTAATCCTCTGCTTGGATGGCCACACTGATATGTTACCCATTTGCCTTGTATGGTTTTGTGCTTCTTGTTGGCCTCTTGTCTGGCATGTAACATCTCCAGATTCTAATTCCTGTTATGACTATAGCAAGTGTACATGAGAGAAGGTAATGAGCTGTGTGTACAGGGGGAAATGGGGTAGTGGTGAAGACAATGGCTGCAAGCAGAATGGTGTATTCTGAGCTTGTTGAATTACAGGACTTTTGGTATGGGGGTAACTGAGTAGACCAGCTGTCCTGCTAGGTGGCATACAACGAAGAGTATTCCTCTATGACAAGATTTCAGATTCTTTCTTGCTAGTAGAGGTGGTAAACAGTAAGAGGTATATGTACATCTCTAAGACTTTAAAAAGGATTCTCCCAAAGCAGTTATAAAATTAAAGGCCTCAGACTAAGGCCATTAATTTAAGACACTAGAAAAAAAAAAGAACTTGTCCATTTAGCTGTACAGGGTGGAGCTGAAGGCTGTTTAGTGCAAAGGATGAAGTGAGCCATTTCAGTCACTGTGGCCATGGTGACAAAAATGGAACCATGGGTTTTAGATAGGTGAAAATGCAGTTATACGTAAATCCACTAGGTCTCTTAAACTCAAATCTTCATCTGCCAAAGGTAACAATGAAAGGAGTATTTCCGTACAGGGAGGGGACTGCTAAAATGACCCTGATTCTGATATTCAACTTTTCCTTGAGGTCTTTCATAAATCACCCTTGGCACGAGGAAGGAAGCATTCTGCTTTTTATCTATTTCTTTTTTTTTTTTTGAGATGGAGTCTTACTCTGCCGTCCAGGCTGGACTGCAATGGCACGACCTTGGCTCACTGCAACCTCCACCTCAGGTGTTCAAGTGATTCTCTTGCCTCATCCTCCCCAGTAGCTGGGATTATAGGTGCCTGCCACCATGCCCAACTACTTTTTGTATTTTTTTTTTTAGTAGAGATGGAGTTTTACTTTGTTGGCCAGGCTGGTCTCGAACTCCTGATCTCAAATGATCTGCCCGCCTCTGCCTCCAAAAGTGCTGGGCTTACTGGCATGAGCCACCGTGCCTGGCTCTACCTATTTCTTAAATACTGTAACAGAGACTATGCTGAAACAGATGGGTCTGCTGGCTGCCATGTTTTGTTTGCCCTACCCCACATCTGCTTCCCTGGTCCTTTTTGTCTAACTCCCACATAATTTTTTGTTGTTGTTGGTTCCTCTTTTATAATAATTAAAGATAAAGTTAGGAGAATTTTTTTTTAGACAAAGTCTTGCTCTGTCACCTAGGCTGGAGTGCAGTGGCACGATCTTGGCTCACTGTCATCTCCACCTTCTGGGTTCAAGCGATTCTCCTGCCTCAGCCTCCCAAATAGCTTGGACTAAAGGCACCAGGCTAATTTTTGTATTTTTAGTAGGGACAGGGTTTCACCATATTGGCCAGGCTATTCTTGAACTCCTGACCTTGTAATCTGCATGCCTTGACCTCCAAAGGGCTAGGATTACAGGCGTGAGTGACCGCGCTCAGCCAAAAGTTAGGAGTTTTAAGAATTCTATTTTTCGACCGGGCGCAGTGGCTCACGCCTGTAATCCCAGCACTTTGGGAGGCCGAGGCGGGTGGATCACGAGGCCAAGAGGTTGAGACCAACCTGGTCAACATGGTGAAACCCCGTCTCTACTAAAAATACAAAAAATTAGCTGGGCATGGTGGCGTGTGCCTGTAATCCCAGCTACTCGGGAGGCTGAGGCAGGAGAACTGCCTGAACCCAGGAGGCGGAGGTTGCGGTGAGCCGAGATCGCGCCATTGCACTCCAGCCTGGGTAACAAGAGCAAAACTCAGTCTCAAAAAATAAATAAATAAGAATTCTGTTTTTCTTCTGAATTAATAAATAATGTATTACGTAGTAATGTCCAGCAAGTTTGGGCTATTATTAGTGAGAGTAGTGCTTTATGCAGTACATTGTAGATGCTTGAATTTGGATGCCTAGAAGGGTATGGGACTCCTTTCCCCCATGCCACTTACCACTTATTACTGACTTATACTGGGCTAATTAACTTTTTCCTAGTCCTTAAAGGCTTCTCAGTTTGAATCCTTGATTTAGATTAAACGTGACTGGCTGAAATTCAGGGAAGAGACTTACAAAGTATGAGTGTTTACTTTCATTTTTTTTGTTCTCCAGGAGTAGGCAGATATAAAAGGCATATCCAGAAGTGCCACCTTCCATCTGTTCTATGTTCCAAGTTTTTCTGGGTGAGGATTCTCTTTTTCTTTGAATGACTGATAAAGAGAACATCTACCATATAGAGGAAAACCTTTATACCTTACCCACAGGGTATGGCCTTATTCCATGACTGCAAAAAAAAAATAATTGTATCAGAGTACAATAATAGGCATAATATCTGAGCCCATGACTTGTGCAAAAGGTAAGACAGAGGGAGGGTAGGGAGGAAGGCTTCACTCTAATATGCAGCTCAAAAGTAGGTTTGGTAGCTACTGGACCTCACCTCAGCACAGGTGTCACAGGTACTGTGTGGAGCAGGGTTTCATGGCAGATTTGGGGTTCTCAGAGATCCCCACAAATTGAGTTTTATGCTTTATTTAAGCCTCATCTTGCTCACCAATACAGCAGTATGAAGGTCCAGGTAGAACTCAGGTCTGGCTCCCCAGGCAGATGGATACATAAAGCCAGTCACTGTGATGTAAGAGGCCTCCTTCACTGCATGAACCCCTCTGCGGAGTCACAGTAGGCTTGACATGCAGCTGTCCAGTAATTCCAACTATCTGTGGCTGCTTTGGGTGAGGGCTATAAAGTTTAGATTCTCACAGTGAATGATCTTACAGCATGGAATATGGGCACCAGGACACCCAGAACTTCCTAGAAATAGGTAACCTTAAAATTAAGCTGTTTGTTGGCTGGTGTGGTGGCTTACCTGAAGTCAGGAGTTTGAGACCAGCCTGGCCAACATGGTGAAACCCTACCTCTACTAAAAATACAAAAATTAGCCAGGCATGGTGGTACATACCTGTAATCCCAGCTACTCAGGAGCCTGACGCAGGACAATCACTCGAACCTGGGGGGCAGAGGTTGCAGTGATCTGGGATTGCACCACTTCACTCCCGCCTGGGCATAAGAGTGAAAATCTATCTCAAAAAAAAAAAAAAAAAAAAAAAAAAATTAGGCTGTTAGCAGAAGCATGTCCCATCATCTTTGACCCCAACTTAGCTGACTGGAGACTGATAACTACCACAAATTCAGATAAGCAGGGTGTAGTTCTCTGTGGTGTATGTCTGGTCTCAAAGTCAGCTTTCATGGCACATGCTTTCATAATGTTTAGCTCTACCAACATAAAAGAAACCCAGAACAGGGTTTTTCTAAGTCAAGATGGCCTTAAATTCCATGGATTAGTCTTCTATGGTATTCACAGTTATCAATGACAATTTCTACTTGTGTATTGTTGGTGCAAACTAAATGATGACTACTTTTTTTTTTTTTTTTTGAGACAGAGTCTTACGCTGTTGCCCAGGCTGGAGTGCAATGGTACAGTCTCAGCTCACTGCAACCTCCACCTCCTGGGTTCAAGGGATTCTCCTGCCTCTCAAGTATCTAGGACTACAGGTGCCTACCACACACCCGGCTAATTTGTGTATTTTTAGTAGAGACAGGGTTTCAGTATGTTGGCCAGGCTGGTCTCGAACAGTGATTGGCCTGCCTTGGCCTCCCAAAGTACTGGGATTACAGGCGTGAGCCACTGCACCCAACCATGATGGCTACTTTCTGACTACTCTAGATGATACTGATTATGTGACCCTGGGCAAGTTACTTAACCTCTGTATCTGTATATGTCTGTAAAATGGAGATTTTAACAGTTCCTGGTTTATAGCATTTTTTTGAGGAGTTAATGAGTGTTAATACATAGAAAGTGCTTAGAGCAGTGCCTGGCATATGGTAACTATTCCATAAATCTTGGCTCTTAATAATTTATTATTGTTATTATTGAACTCCCTATCCCATTTGTCTAAAATAATTTACTAGAGATAGAAGAAAGGAGGGAAGGGAGAGAGGAAAGGAGAGACATGGGGAAAGTACTCAGGGTTAGGACTTTTAGTAGCTAGGGGTCAAGGAAGAAAACGGGTTTGGCAAATAGGTAGGACTATCTCTAGGAAAAATGCTTCCTAGAGAAAATCCTAAACAGTGATGATGTGGGTTACAAAGAGCATGGGTCAAAACTACCCCACTTTGCTGCTAAAGAAAAGGAGCAGGAGTCAAGCCATATCAGACCACAGTCAGAATTAGACTGACACAGATTGAGCCTCAGGCAATCCAGTTGAAAACAAATTAAATTTGTAGATAAGCAGGTCAAAAAGAAATATTCTCAGCTGCTTGTTTTCCATATAAATTGTTTTGCCATCTTTAAAGTTTTAAAGCAGTACTGTCAGTTTATCATAATTTTTTAGGTATGTTTCCAACTTTTGTGCTTTTTAATCTAAATAAACTTTCACATGATAAAGAAAAAAATGTACATGTTTCATATTATGAAGCCATTGCAAATATTTAAAAAGTAGTAAACAGCAGCCGGGCACAGTGGCTCATGCCTGTAATCCCAGCACTTTGGGAGGCTGAGGTGGGTGGATCACAAGGTCAGGAGTTCAAGACCAGCCTGGCCAACATGGTCAAACCCCGTATCTGCTAAAAATACAAAAATTAGCCAGGTGTGATGGTGCATGCCTGTAATCCCAGCTACTTAGGAGGCTGAGGCAGGAGAATTGCTTGAACCTGGGAGGTGGAGGTTGCAATGAGTGGAGATTGCACCATTGTACTCCAGCCTGGACAGCATAGTGAGACTCTGTCTCCAAGAGGAAAAAAAAAGGTAGTAAACACTATGTACAAGGATTCCTTAAGAAACGCACGTGTATGTGTGTGTGTGTGTGTGCACAAAAAAAATTCTCAAAGACCCAAAGAGGCAGTTAAGCAAATCTCTGGCCACCAGAATGACTAAACATATAAAAACCAAGCAATTGGAAAGAATAATTTTTGACTTAGTTGTCATGTTGAAGAAATTTTTATTGCAAGCATTTTGTTTTATAGCAAACTGTTTTGACCAAGTCATCTCATGCCAGTAGAGTGCCAGAGAAGTAACTGATTAGGATGCGTAACTGATACAGGCTGGTAAGATAAGTGATGGGTCAAAACAGAGCAAGGAGAGCTGAAGGAAAATGGAGAGAGGTCAGGCAGACGCTTAGAGTGCATCTCACCAACACTGAATTAGTCTTTCTTTAAAGGTGGCAAAATTCATCCTAGATCCAGAGGCAGACCTTCGAAAGCAGAGGACTACACTTGACATATAACATGAAATTAGATGGCGATGTTCTGAATGAGAGGGCTCTCAACTTGAAAGAAAGAATGTTTTTAGGATTGGCATTATCTCCTTTACTCTAGGTATTTGCTTAGCAAACCCTTTCTTCATACATGGTTCAAAAGCAAATCACATTTTCCATATTCCCTATTAAACTATTATATACTATGAGTGGGGGCAGTGTTCTTAATGACAAAATATTGTCATTTTAAAAGAAATGTTGTCATTTCTAAAAGAAATCAGGAAGATAATTCTATTTACAATAGCTACCAAAAAAATAAGATACCTAGGAATAAACAGAGGTGAAAGATCTCTAAATTGAAAACTATAAAACCTTGATGAAAGAAATTGAAGAAGACACAAATGAATGAAAAGACATCTCATGTGCATGAGAGAACTAATATTGTTAAAACAGCCATACTACCCAAAGTAATCTACAAACAAAATACGATCTCTATCAAATACCAATGATATATTTCACAGAAATAAAGACAATCATTAAATTCATATGGAGCCACAAAAGACTCTTAAAGGCAAACCAATCCTTAGCAAAAATAACAAAGATGAGGCACCATAGTACTTGATTGCAAAATATACTACAAGTTTATACTAACCAAAACAGCATGGTATTGGCATAAACACAAACACAGAGACCAATGAAACACAATAGAACCCAGAGAAAAATTCATGCATCTATGGCCAACTGTTTTTCAACAGAAGTGCCAAGAACATACTCTGGGAAAAATGGAAAGTCATGTGCAGAAGACTAAGACTAGATCCTGTCTCCACTATATACACAAATCAATTCAAAATGGATTAAAGACTTCAATATAAAACTTGAAACTAAGAAATTACTAAAAGAAAACACAGGGGAAATGCTTTACAACACTGGGTTGGGCAAGACTTTTTTTTTTGAGATGAAGTTTCGCTCTTCTTGACCAGGCTGGAGTGAAATGGCGCAATCTGGCTCACTGCAACCTCCGCCTCTCATGTTCAAGCGATTCTCCTGCCTCAGCCTCCCAAGTAGCTGGGATTACAGGCACCCACCATCACTTCTGGCTAATTTTTCTATTTTTAGTAGAGATGGGGTTTCACCATGTTGGCCAGGCTGGTCTTGAACTCCTGATCTCAGGTAATCCACCTGCCTCGGCCTCCCAAAGTGCTAGAATTATAGGCATGAGCCACCACATCTGGCCTTTTTTGTTTTGTTTTGTTTTGGGGGACAGAGTCTTCCTGTCACCCAGGCTGGAGTGCAGTGACACAATCCCAGCTCACTGCAACTTTCGCCTCCAGAGTTGAAGCAATTCTCCTGCCTCAGCCTTCCAAGTAGCTGGGACTACAGGTGCGTGCTACCACGCCCGGCTAATTTTTGTATTATTATTATTTTTTTTTGAGATGGAGTTTCGCTCTTGTTACCCAGGCTGGAGTGCAATGGCGCGATATCGGCTCACTGCAACCTCCGCCTCCTGGGTTCAGGCAATTCTCCTGCCTCAGCCTCCCGAGTAGCTGGGATTACAGGCACATGCCACCATGCCCAGCTAATTTTTTGTATTTTGAGTTCAGATGGGGTTTCACCATGTTGATCAGGATGGTCTCGATCTCTTGACCTCGTGATCCACCCGCCTCGGCCTCCCAAAGTGCTGGGATTACAGGTGTGAGCCACCGCGCCCGGCCCTTAATTTTTGTATTTTTAGTAGAGACGGGGTTTCACCATGTTGGCCAGGCTGGTCTGGAACTCCTGACCTCAGGTGACCCACCCGCCTCGGCCTCCCAAAGTGCTGGGATTACAGGAATGAGTTATCGAACTCAGCCAAGTTCTGGTGTTTTACTGAACAGTAGGGTTGCCCTTAATAATAAGGCATGATATATTACAAAATAACATGAGGTGAGAGAGATGCTAAGGACGCTGATTTGATCAGTATACAACATTTGTATTATGAAAACACCAAACTGTAACCCAGAAATGTGTACAATTACAATGCGTAAAATAAAAAAAGAATCATTTCCTGTATTTATTATTACTGAAATGGGCAAAATAGCACCTTCCTATTTACTACATCACAGAAATGACGGAATAACTAAGGGAATGTAAGTTAAGTAGGTGAGTTCCAGAGAACACAGTGTAATTTTATTTTTCTTTTTTCAGATAAAGCAATAGAACAACTTACTCAGCTTGAAGAGTACCTATATCATAATTTTCAAAGTTTGCATTTGCATTTCTTATTTCATCACTAATTTCCAAAGTTACAACTCTTACCTTGAAATCTTCCCAAGTTTTGCTCACTTAGCTACTGTCCGGCATTCTCCTGAGGCAGATTACCATAGCATCATCCAGTCTATCAACCTTTAAAACAGAAAGGTGAACCCTAAGAATTTTGTGATAAAGCTAAAAGCCAGTAGAGAGCACCAGGCCTTCTCTGGTTCTGATGTAATGATTCTGAAAGACTGCCATGACAAAATACTTTTATCTTGAAGATTGTACGTGTTCTTTATACTTAAAGAACCCGGAGTTTCTGATCATGCCAATCATTAGATAGGTGGCCTCAGAAAAGTCTTTTAGCATCCCTGGGCCTTAATTTCCATTTCTGTAAAAAGTCAGGGGTGCCTTAGATCATCTCCAATTTCGTCTCCACTCTGATTTCTCATCCTATGCTTCCTAGTTCATTTCTTCAAAATCGCATGCCTCAAATCAGGAAGAAAATCTGGCGGAAGAGCAAGAATTGTATTATTATTTTCACCAGCTCACCCACCACCCTGTTTCTATTATTTTCACCAGCTCACCCACCACCCTGTTTCTATGTTTCCAGGTAAGAGCCTTGAAGTTGCTTTTGGTTTTTCCCTTTTATGTACTTTAGACAAATTATGACATTAATTATAAATACAGAATACTTTCCAAGTTTTACCTATTACTTCTGCAGATACTTTGTCATTTGATTAGCACAACAGTTCAAACTGGTAAGTATTATTTTTAATTTACTGAGGCAACTAAAGCCCAGGAAAGTTCAGTGAATTAATTGCCCAGATTAACACAGATAGCAGTTATGGGATAGGTCTTCTTCGTCTTCTTTTTTTTGTAAGACGGAGTCTCACTCTGTCACCCAGGCTGGAGTGCAGTGGTGCGATCTTGGCTCACTGCAATCTCCACCTTCTGGGTTCAAGAGATTCTCTAGCTTCAGCCTCCCAAGTAGCTGGGATAACAGGAGCATGCCCCCATGCCCTGCTAAATTTTGCATTTTTTAGTAGAGACGGGATTTGGCCATGCTGGCTAAGCTGGTCTTGAACTCCTGACCTCAGTGATCCACCCTCCTTGGCCTCCAAGAGTGCTGGAATTACAGGTATGAGCCACCGCACCCAACCGGGACCAGGTCTCCTGCTTCTGAAGTTTTCTTTTCACAACACTGAAATTTCTATTAAGGCAGACCCAGGTTTTGTATCGCCTGAGGTACCTATAATTTTAATGACTATCTTCAAGGATAGGAGTACAAAACTACAATACAACACAAAGTATGATCCTGTGAACATACTGTTAAGGCCCTTCTCAGGGTCTATTCAAGGAAAGGGCCTCTAGGGTTAATCTTTAGAGTTAGGTTTCATGTAGTGTTTTATATATGCTAGACACTGAAATCAATCCTTTTTTTTTTTTCTGAGATGGAGTCTTGCTCTGTTGCCCAGGCTGGAATGCAGTGGTGAGATCTCAACTCACTGCAACCTCTGCCTCACACGTTCAGGCAATTCACCTGTCTCAGCCTCCCGAGTGGCTAGGGCTACAAACGTGTGCCATTATGCCTTGCTAATTCTTATATTTATAGTATTGGCAGGGCTTTACCATGTCCGGGCTGGTCTCCAACTCCTGGCCTCAAGTGATTCACCTGCCTCAGCCTCCCAAAGTGCCGAAATTAGAGGCTTGAACCACTGTGCTGGGCTGAAATAAATGCTAATTTTATTATCATAATAACCCTGAGGTAGATATTACCCTTGTTTTACAGAGTGGAGAGGCTTGGAACCGTAAAATGACTTGCCTGAGGGCATAGAGCTGGTAAGTGCAAGAATCAAATTTGGAACTGAACAGATCCGGCTCCCAGGTCTATAGTGTGAATCACCACACTATGGGGCTCTGTAAGTCTTCTTTTGCGGCTCCTTATTTAACCACTTCTCACTACATACCATAGAACAGGCCCTTGTAAGTTTACATCTCAACCAGACTCTCCAGTCTCTCTAACTTAATTCTCCTTACCATCTACCTGACTGCTGCTGCCACCCTGGCACTGCTCTTAGAAGTCCTGGCTGCCCCAGTGACTTCTTTTCTCTGTGTTTATCAAATGTAAAAAGCAATTACTGTATTACTCACAAGTAGTACTTGGCCATGAATGCCATACTGTCTTCTAACATACTGAACTGTTATTGGAAAGCACCTGGGACCTCTCAGGACCTGATCCTCCAATCTCTACTCTTCTTCAATCTCGGGTTCTTCATTTGCAAACTAAGGCCTACCTCCCAGGGTTTTTATGAGAATTGAGGGGGAGGGTAAAGGAGGAAGACTGAGGGGAAGGGCAGGGTCCTGACAAGCAGCAAGTGCTCAACAGATGTTCCTTAATTTGTGCCTGACTCAGTCTCCCCCCCACCCCAAAACGGGCAAGCTCTTTGCAGGCAGGGGCCTTGCCTCATACTTTTTCGGTATTTCTCAAAAGTCCTGAACATCAGAGACACTCCATGGTTATTTGATCACTTCAACACACACACGTTGGTTATCCAGTCACGGCGGCTCTTACGATAAAAACAGGCTCTGGTGGCTTCAAATGCTGGCCGCTAACTGGCTGGGCCGTCTGGAAAGTTACTCCACCTCTCTGGGCCTCGGGTCCCTTATTTACAAAATGCTCACGGCAGTGCTTACTTCACAGGGCTGCGAGGATTACAGAGGATAATCCGGGTGAGACGCATCCCCAGCGCCGCCTGCTACAATTCTATCCACACAGGCATCGCCCATAAGCCTCCGGCCCCTGCATTCTCGCTTCTCCACGTGGCCGACGTGCACACCCCTCCCCGCTGGGCCCGTCTCCCCACCCTCTTACCTGCCCTTCTTTCCCGCCGCGTCTTTAATACCCACCAGGGGCCAACCGCCGCGGGCCTGGCTCTGTGGTGAGCAAGTTGCATGGGGTCTCCCATCAGGACCTCCCGATGAGCCTACGAGGTCGGTTCTGTTACTGTCGCCACTTCAGGGGTAGGAAACAGTCCCGGAGGGATGGGGAACTTCCCGAGGTCACTGAACTGGTGTCAGGCCCGGAATGGAATCCAAACACATCCCAGTCCAAGCCCGGCTCCACAGCGCCGGCCCCCAGCCGTCTTCTGGGGTCCCAGTGGCACCCGCGTCCATTCAAATGCTGCCCTAGTCCCCCTCTCCAGTGGCTTCCCGCTACTCCGCGCGCGCATCGTCCCCCACCCCTCAGGGGCAGGCCTCTCGGTGGCTCTTCCTTTTTCTCTGCCAGAAACTGAGGGGTGAGACCAACGTTTGTGTCCCGAACCAGGGCAGCTTGCCTAGAGCTCGTCAAACAGGGACCAAGGGACGAGTCTGGCAAGGCGCGGTGGCTCCGCGCCTCTCTGCAGGGGCGCGGCGCGCGGGTCCGACTGGGACTGGCTCACTTGGTGGGGAGGGGGCGCCGGCGCGGCCGAGAGCATGTGGAGGCGCTAGCTGCGGTTCGGACGTCAGTATGGCGGGGAGGGGGCGGCGGCCCAAAGAGAAGACTCCGCCCTCTGTGCGCATGCTCCGGCCCTGGCGGGTTATAAGGCAGCCGCGCCGGCCGGGCCGGACAAAGTGGAGAGCGGCGACGTGACTGCCGGGCCGCCTGGGTGCTGGAACTAGCGAACGAGGCAGCGAGCGAAGGAGGGGAGCCAGACCCTGGGCCCCGTAGAACTCCAGCCCGCGCCACCACGTCACGCACAAGCTTGGCGCCGCGATCCGCGAATATAACGGTTAGTTGGGTAACAGCCGGCGGCACTCGGCGCGGACCCCGCGATGCCCTCGTTGCCCCGGTGGGGTCAGAGGGGACCTCCGGGGTTGGGAGACTTTGTGTCCGGGGAGAGAGGCGGCCCAGCAGAGGGCATCGTGGCCGCAGGCAGCCGCGTGGCCTCGACTGCAGTGCTGGTGAAGGAGACCTTGAGGCGCTGAGGACAGCGCCTGTCTCAGCGGCTCCGCTGGTGAGATGCCGGCCCCTGACCTGGCGGAGGAGTTGGCTCGTGGTGCCTGGTGACCTTGGGGAAGTCCCCTCACCTCTGCAGAGTCTTCAGTAGGCTCCTTGAGAGAAGCTTTGATTTGGAAAAGGGATAACGTGAGGCTGCTTCCCGTGCTACCTCCAGACTCCCCTGGCCGCTTCTGCTCCAAGGGAAGGGACTCGGGGCAGGAGTTATTTTTGATTCGTAGCGTTATCTGCCCCGACCTTCTCGGCCCCGCCGATCCCTGCCCCACCTGGTGACTTGCGAGAGCGATAGAGAGAGCCGCATCCCCTACGGCCAAGGCTTGACTGTAGGGTTCGAGTAGACGCTGCGGAGGGGACCGGGCAGCCCTCAGACTCCCGAGAGTGGTGCTGACGGCGGCTCTTTGTCACTCAACCTGTGGCTGCGGGCTCACGGCGGCCTTATTGGGAGGGATCTGCAGGGTAGCGTTACTCTTGCTCTGATGCAAGCTTTTTGTTCCGAGTACGTCCCTTTTTTTTTTTTTTTTTCCAGCGTGCGTTTTAACATTTTATTACTTTGTTGTGACATATTTGATGCAACAAGCAGTTGCCAAAACTAGTTTGTAATTAATCTAAACGGGAGACAAACTTGTTACTGCTTTAGTCTTTCCTTGGGTTTCCAGTGGCTGATTAGAGACTGTGCTGCTACTGATAACAGTAAAATGTTTACGAGCTACTTTATTTACCATAACTTACTATAACTTGTTTTGAATTTTTTTTTTTTTTTCAAAAAATTACTCTGGTTTCTACAATTTTTATCTTAACCACCATCCCAGTGAGGTGGTGCAAAGACTGCGTGTCTTCAGTTTTTTAGTTAGATGTTAAATAGTACCAGTAAATTCAAGTCTTACACTCTGGGGTACAATTTTGTCTTCAGATTGCCATAGAAACGACCAAGATTCAAGATATCTAACACTTAAAACACGTAGTAAGATTTTGTATTTATACAGAAATTGAATGTATTCCAGTAATTCATTTTGGGTTTAGGTAGATGCTGTTTCATCAGATTGCGGTTACTCTTGCTAAATATGCAAGGGAATGATCTGAGGAGCATTTTGTGAGATTTTTATAGCTGAATAGATTTAAAGGTTTAGTTGTAAGCGTAATGGGATAGGCTGTAATGTCCTTAAAACAGATTAAAGAGGAAAAAAATATCACTATAGGAAGAAAGTGACTGATTAGTGTTTCCGAAGTTTACATCTTTTGGCCACTTAATATGGGCATATATTAGCTCTGCAAAGGATCCTAATGACCAGCTGGTCAGAATCCTTTGTTTTACACAGAAGGAAACTGAGGCTGGAGGGGTTAAGTGATCTAACATCTTAGGTCTGAAAATTTGTTAATGGTTTGGTGGGAACTATGTGTGTCATTGGACTCATTTTTATTAGATTGTTAGGTTGAGAAAAAAATAGATTGTCAGATTGACACTCGAGTTTTCTTTAAGATTGTAAATTTGGATACAAAATATCTCAGTCTGAAAATAGATTTCCCAGCTTCTTATGTTCTACATTCCCATCATGTTTTCAGTTCACTTTACAATGCCCACTCCTATGCAAGATTAAGATCTCTGTAAATGCCTACTTGGCTGTCTTGTTTTTTGTTTGTTTGTTTGTTTTTGAGATGGAGTCTCGCTCCGTTGCTTTGAGATGGAGTCTCGCTCCGTTGCCCAGACTGGAGTGCAGCCTCCTCCTCCCGGGTTCAAGCAGTTCTCCGCCTCAGCCTCCCCCGTAGCTGGGATTACAGGCACCAGCCACCATGCCTGGCTAATTTTTGTATTTTTAGTAGAGATGGGGTTTCACCATCTTGGCCAGGTTGGTCTTGAACTCCTGACCTCACGATCCATCCGCCTCAGCCTCCCAAAATGCTGGGATTACAGGTGTGAGTTTGTCTTGTTTTTGTTGCAGTTGAGGACTAGGAAGATAGAACTTGGGTATGAGGAAAACAGTCCAGATTGTTGTGAATTTTATATATTCAGCAGTTTGTGACTATGAGGACCTATGAGAGACTTAGGATTCAGTAATGAACACATTTTACCACTTGCCCTCCTAGAATTATACTCTAGCTGGAAAACAAATAAATTTATAATTGCCACAGCAAATACTCTTTACAAACAAGTAGCGACTGTTATGATAGGGTAAGTACAGATCCTGTAGGAACAGATACTGTATTGTGTAGGTGTGAGAAGACACCCAACTTAGCATAGAAGCAATCTGGGAAGATCTTTCTGAGGAAATACTGTTTAACTTGGGACTTGAAGGATGAAGGAGCTAGCCAGGCAAGGCAATGATGATGGGTGGAAAGAACATTTCAGGCATGAACACTGAAGCTATACCCAGAGTACAGGCTATAATAAAAGAGCTGAAAGAATTTTACCAAAGCTAAAAAAACATAAAGGAGTCAAAGAGAATGGGAAGAGATGAAAGGTGAAGAGATAGACAGTAGGAGAAAATGGAGGGCCTTGTAAGCCATTTTAAGGAATCAAGAAGGGTAAAAAAATTTAAAGGAGCACTCTTATCTTGAAGCAGATTGAAAGCAGTTTAAGCATTTTTCAGGCTGGGCGCAATGGCTCATGCCTGTGACGGCAGCACTTTGGGGAGGCTGAGGCAGGTGGATCACTTGAGGTTAGGAGTTCGAGACCAGCCTGGCTAACGTGATGAATCCCTGTCTCTACTAAAAATACAAAAAAATTAGCTGGG